TTGTCGCAGATTTGACCAGAGGGAGATCCTTCAAAGTGGCTCCTGTGTCATTTTGACATGTTCCTATCTTTTGAGTGCTTCATTACTTCCCAGCACAATGAGTTCTTCCAGAATCATTTTGTACTTTCTCTGTTCCAACCCTGGAGTCAGTCATATCTCCAAGAAGCTCTAGTTCCTATTAGTGACAAATGGTAACTCAAGGTGTGCTCATTGTGCCTGGCATATAATTGTCATTTCAGCAGTCAGAGAAAGGAATGTTTTTCCTTATAGGAGAATGCCAACTAATCAATATAGAAGAAATGATGGAATTAGAAAAACACCATTAGGGAAATAGCACCATAATTAATTGTTACAGGCAAGAATCATTGCTAGATGCTACAATTAGTGGACAAAAGCATGAGAAATAGTCTCAATGTATACACAGTCTCAATGTATCTCCCCATAACCTAGTTGTTAATTACAAAGAGAAATATAGTAATTTTATAGTACCTGACAGATGCCATCTTAGCCAGGTGATCAAAGTTAACATTATCAATAAAGGACAAATTGGTATTGAATTCTTGCCAATGTGAGGCACTGAGAAGAACACAGCATCATTTCTGTGATATTTGACAAAAATGAAAAACCCGAATCTAATTATGAGGAAGCAGGAAGAAAACCCAAATTGAGGGACATTCTTCCAAATGGTGTCATGAAAGTCAAGGAAAAGCTAAGGAACTGTTTCAGATTAAAGGGTAAAGGGACATGACAACTAAACATAATACATGGGCCTGGATTGGATCCTGGATCAGGGGGAAATACTATAAAGGATGTTATCGTGACAACTGGGAAAATTATTTACAAATTGTATGTTAGTGAAACCGAGCAGGACCCTGTGGGGCTGTCCCCTGTTCTTTTTTTTTCAAGATTTTTGTCTTTATTTATTTATTTATTTGGCTATGCTGCATGGCTTGTGGGATCTCAGTTCCCTGACCAGGGATTGAACCTGGGCCCTGGCAGTGAAAGCCTGGAATCCTAACCACTGGACCACCAGGGAACTCCCTGTCCCCCATTTCTTGTTTGTAGGGAATAGATTCCAGCCTCCATGACCTTCCCTGACTTCCAAAGGGCAGATTTGAACAGTTGCTAATCAGGTAAGGGAGGGGATGCAGAGACAAAGGAGAAGCAGCCAAGAAACAATAGTGCAGCCTTGGGGCAGGGTCCTGGTTCCTCCTCAAGGGATACACATAATATCTTTGAGCTCTTTACAGAACTAAAACCCCCAACAAATGGAAGGTGTTAGCATTCTTCATTCCAGAGAAGACCACATGAGGCCAGATTAAAGGAACCAGAGAAGCTCATCAAGAGACTACCTGAGACCAGATTAAAGGAGTGCAGGCCCTGCACACACTCTAATCCTTATCAGCAAGCCTGCTCTTGAACCATTGCTATAAAACTCCTCATCCAATCCTCCCAGGTTGGGACACACAGTTTTTCGGGGCAGGAGCCTACTGTGTCCCCATTTGTCTGGCAAAGCAATAAAAGCTACTCTTCTCTACTTCACCCAAAACTCTGTCTCTGAGATTCGATTTGGCACCGGTGCACAGAGGCCGAGTTTTTCACCTCATTAGGTAATTAGATAATACACATCAAATATTAGATAGTACTAGATCAATGTGCAATTTCTTGATTTTGATAACTGTACTGTGATTATGTAAGAGAATGTCCTTGTTCTTATGAGATACACATTAAGTATTTAAGGGTAAAGGGGAATTATGTCTGCAAATTACTCTCAAGTGGTTCAGAAAATAAAGTTTTAAATATTTCTGTGTGTATACACTACATACATACATACATATATACATAAATTGAGAAGAGAAAGCAAATGTGGCAAAATGTTAACAATTAGTGGCTCTGGGTGAAGGGCAAAAGAATCAAACGTTTCAAAAGAATTAATGCTTTAAAACTCTTAGTAGAAAATATAGGTAAATATTTGTTTAGGCCTTGGGGTAGGTGAGGATTTCCTAAACAACACAAAAAATGCACTAAGTATCAAAGACAAGATCTAGTGATTCAACTGTGAGGAAATGAGGAACCTTTATTCATTGAAAGACCTTTGTTCTTTGGGGGCCCTTATTAGTGAGTGTTCAGGGGCACAGAGCAGGCATGGAACTCACAGTACCTGCTCCACCCCAGCAGCTCCGGGGGCAGATCCGCAAGCACTGGGCGGTGCTCAGCACTTCTCCATCCACCAGCTCTCCTGAGCACAGCCCCAAGGGTTGCTGAGAGCAGGACCTCCACCTAAGCCTCTAGCAGCATGTCTGACCTACTCCCCTTCACTGAGCAAGGGCACTCACCCAGGGAAAGCCCTGGGGTCAGGCTTGAGGGAGGCTCTCATTCTGCCTGCCCATCCTCCTGATCCTTGCTCTCTTGCCAGTGACCCCAGGACAGACTGGCAGGTGTGTAGGTGATACAGGGGAGGAGCCTCAGGTGGTGGGGAGGAGTGGCTATTTGCCAACCAGTATGGGAAAATTAAAATATTCTATCATTTGGCACTGGTAAACATTTTTTAAAAACTTTGTTTTACCATTTTTAAAAATTGAAGCAGGCTTCCCTGGGGGCGCAGTGGTTAAGAATCTTCCTGCCAAGGCAGGGGACATGGGTTCGAGCCCTGACCTGGGGAGATCCCACATGCCACAGAGCAACTAAGCCCATGCACCACAACTACTGAGCCTGTGCTCTTGAGCCTGTGAGCCACAACTACTGAGCCCACGTGCCGAGAGACCGTGCACCACAACAAAGAGTAGCCCCCGCTTGCCGCAAGAGAAAGCCTGCGCACAGCAACGAAGACCCAACACAGCCAAAAACAAATAAATAAATAAATTTAAAAATAAAAATAAAACTTGAAGCATAGTTAGTTTACAATGCTGTGTTAGTTTCAGATGTACAGCAAAGTGATTCAGATATATATATATATATATATATACGAAGACCCAACACAGCCAAAAACAAATAAATAAATAAATTTAAAAATAAAAATAAAACTTGAAGCATAGTTAGTTTACAATGCTGTGTTAGTTTCAGATGTACAGCAAAGTGATTCAGATATATATATATACATATATATATATATATATATATATATATATACATATATACTTTTTCAGACATTGTTAAATATTTTAACAACTCTGACAGCCCAAGCTGGTGGACAAAAGACCACACTCATCTGTCTCTCCCACCCTGGGAGTCACACAGGGAAAGGGTAAAAAGACCATGCCAGGCACAGATGCCCCTCTGATCCCTTTCACTTTGGACTCCACCCTGGCTGGGTAGGCTTATGTGATGTGATGGAGAGGGATTTTGGAGCTAGTGACTTGGATACAAAGTTGCTAATACAGAACCACCCAGATTCTAGCCTCAGCAGCCACATACAAAAAGGTTTGGTTTTATGGCCCATTTCTACCATGGAGGATGGCCTGTGTCTCTGCCACCACCAGGACACTTACAAGGACTCCCTCATCCTAGGTGAGGATCCCCACTCCAGCTCTTGACAGCTCGCCAGTGAACCACACAGCAATGTCTCAGTCCCAAAACATTCTGCACTCTCACCCCAAGGGAACGCTGTGCTGCCAGGATTGGCCACTCACTGCCCATTCTGTCCCTGGCCATCTGCTCTGTCCCACCCTGCAGCCGGCTTGGGGCTCAGTCCCCAAGGGCTGCTCTCACTTCTGCCCCAGCACACTTCTCCATCACCTCCTGTGATATAACCCTGCCCTTCTAAAAACCCTATCCCAGCCTAGCAGGAAGGCTCCTAGGGCACTTACTAGGCTGCCTGAAAGTATGCAGTGTAGCTCACTGTGCCCTCGCCTGGGGCTGGGGGTGCCCTAGTCTTTCCTGCTCCCATGCTCCTCCCTCTGGCTTTCCCTGCTTACCCTACCCACTCCTGTCCCCTAACTTCTCCCTGCTCCCTCTCCTGATTCTTGTTCCCTCTGCATGGTCCCCATCTGACTCTTCTTTCATCCCTCTGCTTACTGTTCCTTCTAAATGTTTCTTGTTATTTCTGACTGTCCCCTGGTCTGTTTCCTGATGCCTCTGTTTATTGCTTCCTCTGATTGTCCCTTGTTCCATTGTTCCATGCCTCCTGTTTCTTCTTCCCTCTGACTGATCCCTGATGCCTCTGACTGTCCTCTGTTCCCTTTGACAGCTATTCCTCTAGCTGATCCTTAGTCTGTGGCACCATTCTGGTTGCACCCTAGTCCATCTGGCTGCTCCCTGGTCCTGATGAGGCTTTCTCATTCCTTCTAGTTGACACAAGACTGACTGCCCTTTGACTCCTCTGACTTCTTTGTAGACCCAATTCTTCCCTGCTCCTTGGGCAGTGCTGGAATGCATTTCTAATATGCTCTCATCTGGTGCTCTGCATCTGGTCCATGTACCACTGTCTGTGAAGTGCTGGTCTACCTGGCTCCTAGCCTAGGCTCTTGATCATCAACATATACTACTTCTGTGTGCTTTGTGCCACAGCTGGGTTCTGTACTTTCACCTTCTGCATCACTTGCATTACACCTGACTTTTGACTGGCTCCTTTGGCTGTTTCTTGGGCAGGGTGACCAACTGTCCCAGTTTGCCTAGGACTTTCCCTGTTGTAGCAGTGAAGTTCCACATCCCATGAAGCCCCTATTGCCTTATCTCAGGGAACTCTGGATGCTCCCCAGACTCTCTCTGGCTTCTGCAACTGTCCCTTAACCCCAGTGCCCACTACATGGGGCCTCTGGCTTCAGGAATGGATACTATGCCTTCCAGCTGTTCTCTAGTCCCTCTAGTTGTTCCCAGGTCAGACAGGCTGCTATCCAAACCAGATATATCTTTGATGTCCACTTTGCTGTTCCCTCTGGCTACTCCCCAACCTCTACAACTGTTCCTTGTTGCCTCTGGTACCCTTGGCTACTCCTCATCCTCAGAGGTCCTTTTGCCTCTCCAACTGTCCCATGGGTCTGTCCCTTTCCTGCCCCTCCAACCTGTTCTACAGCCTCAGCAGCTGGTCCCTGCTTCCTCTGGCTGCTGCATATCCCAGGCTCATCTTTCCCATTTCCCATTTCTGTTCCCCAGTATCTCTGCCTTTCCCCATCCTCTCAGATTCTCCTCTGACCCCTGGTACCTCTTGAAGTGGCTTGTCTGGCAGGCTCTTACCCAGTACACCAAACCTTTTTGCTTTTTCCTTTTAGCTGAGTCTTCTGTTTCCTTGTCCCTCTAGATGGTCCCTGTTCCCTCTGGTTGATATCTGGTTCCTCTATTTCCTGGTCCCTCCTCCCATTTTGAGATCCTTCTAATTGTTCTCATATCCTCTGGCTCTTCCTTGCTCCCCACTATTAACACTTCTCCAGCCCCAACTACTGCTTCTTGGTCTCTCTGCTGCTCCTGGCCTCTGGCTTTTGTTTCCCATTTCCTCTGTTTGTTCCACTGATTTCCCACCTGTCCCCTGGGCCCCTTGACTATCCTCTATTTCCAATAAGTGCAACATGGTCCCTCCAGCTGTTCCCTGTGGCTATTCCTCATCCCTCTTTCTCTTACTGACCCCTCTGCCTGTTTTCCAGCTTCAGCCACTATTTCTTAGCCAAACTGGCTGTTCCTCACCCCTGGGGACATTTTTATTGGTTCCTTGGTATCTCTTCCCATTCCCTGCTCTCTGACATCTAATGAAAAAACTAAGAACCTAACAAATAAATACGTGAATAAATAATATTTACCAGGGTCTTGGTTTCCGTCTCTTCTTGCAAATGGGCAGAGGTCTATGGCTGGGAAGGAAGACATGAATGGAGAAATGTGCCTTGCAGAGATCAGAATCATTCGTCTAGAAGTTTCCACACATTGGCTGGGCAAGAGGCCATGTGCAGAAGGACTTGGGAGGACCACATTGTTGTGGCCCCAACCTGTGGGTCTGTGACTGATATGATGGAGAAGAGCCTGGACAAGGACAATTTTCCAAGAGTGGAATTGCCCTACTGTTAGACAGCAATTCGTTTACCATTCAATGTCCCTATACCTTTGACTCAAAATATAATTTCAGTGACTTGGGCAAAAAGATTTAAGTGTAAGAATTTCACCATAGCAGTTTTCATCACAACAGAAAACCTAGAACACCCTAAATTCACATATAGTGGATTGGTTAAATTAAATATAGTTTATCCATAGGATATAGTTTAATCCTGTGCATCATGTGTGTGTGAAGAAAAATATTTACTGCCTAGAAAATTATATTAAACTGCCAGTTAAAAAGGAGACAACCAAATACTATGATTTCATTTTTAAACTTGAGTTATATAATGTACATGTGTGTGGCATGTATGTACACTCACAGCCCCACATGTATACCCACATACATGCACATACAAAGGAAAAAAAAAGCTGTAAGGAACTATAGCTAAATGTTAACAATGATTAACTTTGGCTAATGCTGGAATTATAAGTAGTTTTATTCTCTTGTACTTGCTTACCTGTATTTTCTAACATTATATTGTGAAATAATGAAATTATGAAATAGCAAACATCAAAATAATTTTTTAAAGTTTAATATTATCCTAATGACCACATGACCCTGAGCCCCTGTGACAACGAGCCTGTCCCCAGAGGTGACAGCATCCACAGGACAGTCGGAAAGAGGGAGCTGTGGGGCAAGGTCTGGCTCCCTCATCATCTTGCTCTGTTTATAGAATCTCAAGGGGAACTTTTAGTGGGAAACTTGGTCTTGGCTATTGTGTGGTGAGGGTGGAAGACAGGGTCAGGAGACAAGGTTCCAGTCCACTGCTGTCACTCACAATCCCAGAGGCCTGGGCAAGTCATGTACCTTTTCAGGCCACTTTACTCATCTTTGAGAGGAGGAGGAAGCAGAAGGGCCCTAGAGACTGTGGTCACCCTACTACCCTGCCATTCTCTAAGTTCCAAAGAAAGGGGATTTTTCTGCCCTAGATCAGGATAGAGGAGAAATCAGCAAGTCCCCAAGGATCAGGGGAAAGCAGGCTCTGGTAGGGATCAGCTGAGTGTGTGCACAGAGCCAGTGAGGACTGAAGGGCCTGTGCTGTGCGTCAGGGGGTAGCGTCTCCCTGGCTGGGGCCGGTGATCACCCCAACCCAGACCTCGCTCACAGACACCCTGCAGGGAGCTGCCTCCCCCTCCTCTAGGCTGTGGGGCTGACCCATCCCACCTTTCCTCCATAGGCTGCATCACATTTTCCACTGAAACAGGAAGGGCTCTGGATGTGGGACACCAGCCACGTGGTGCTCACACAGCAGGAGGATGGTGACCTGTCTCAGGAACACCAAGTCTGGAATTTGCCCCTCCTGTGACATACTTGCCCCTGCCCTGAGTCCCTAGTGACAGGTAGGGGCCATCTCCTCACTGAATAAACTCCTGTCCCTTGAGCCCTGTCTCTCCTCACCTCACACACACTGCCATGTCCCTCTGCAGCCAGGGCTGGGGACCACTGGGGAGAGCTCCGGTTGGCTGGCATTGTCCCGCTGAGCCTCAACCCTCAGGCTCTCCTGCTGACAACTCCGCTCTTCCCGGTACCCTGAGTCCAGGCGGGGCCGTGGGCGCG